TTGTTTTCCTTTGTTGTTCTCTTTTTTCTCTTTTGTTCATTTTGTTGGTTGTTGGTGCATGGGGGGGGGGGGTGGCTTGGGGGGGGGGGGGGTTTGTGGCTGGGGAATGGAGGGAAAGGTATTTTTTTCGGGGGGGGATGGGGCAGCTCTCTGGGAACTTGGATGGTTGAGGGGCAGCTTTCAGGGAACTGTGGGGGGATCTTTGATTGTTGGTGGCCTGGCGGTTGGTAGCTTGGGCCGGTGGCCGATAGGTCGCTGGTTCGGGTCCCCGTTTTGACTTGGTGTGAGATCTGTCGACGTGCCCTTGGGTGGGGTGCTTGACCCTGGTTGCTCCTCTGGGTCGCTCTGGATGGGAGTCTGTTAGATGACTGAATGTGATGTAGATGTTGAGCGGCTTCACTGCAGGTAGATTGAATGTTTTAATATTCAATATTTGTTATTATTGTTTTAAACTGAGGCAGTGGTGTGTGTGACCGACCATCGTCCTTGTCCTCCTGGCACAGACAGACAGAGAGACACAACTCTAATAGGGTGCACAGGAAAATAGAGAGTGAGAAAGGGGGGTTGGGTTGCCAGACGTGGGTATTCGAGCACAGGTTAATCTACTAATTGGGAGCAGAGGGAGAAAGGTTGCCAGATTGTGATGGCCACCAGGAAGGGCCGTTTAAGGGGGACATCTGTTCCTGTTGGAGAGGACAGAGGAAGCGCCGTGTGGGGCTCCCCTGACTTCTTCTCATCTCTCTATCATCCCTCTATTTATACAAGGCTCCGTCTGGCCCCAGCAGCCCAGGGTCCCCCCTCTAGAATCTCAATGGTTCCTACCACTCCACCAATCGCTGATCAAAGAGACTATGCCATCTTCTCAATTATGGGGTTTTTGTTGCTGGACTAGTTAGTATTAAGAATCTGCATAGTAGCAAAGGGTTAGAACTCTGAACTCAACACAGAGAAAAAGGTCTAATTGGATGCAGAGTTTCTTGTGGGAGCGCGTGCTTGTTGTTTATGTAAAGCCAGGGTTTTTAGATTGTGGCGTCAGTTTGATGATGTCAGTAATAATCAGCAACATGGTTCATTGGTTCCATTTGAGACCTTCTGTGCCTCAACATTTCCCAGCCAAATGGAAGCATGGTTGGGTTCAATTTCATTTGAATTTAGTTACGATTAGGATTGGGCCCAAAATGTTTATAACCTTTTATGCCTTATAACCTTTTGTACATGTACTTTACTGCTGATTTGGGGACAGGCACTGTAAATTAGTGTAAGATCAGATGTGATGGTGCAATGCATCTGACTGTTATACATTCAATATGCCAATGTTTTAATTGTCCCTATGTAAATAAATGATTGGAATGACATGCTGTGATCTGATTGGCTGTTGGTCCCTCAGGTTACGCCATACTGCAGGCCATCATGGAGAAGGCGGGCCAGAACAGCTGGCAGGTGAGCGCCATCTGTGTGGAGAAGTTCAACGATGCGGCCTACCGGCGCCTCCTGGAGGACCTGGACCGACGGCAGGAGAAGAAATTTGTTATCGACCTGGAGGCCGAGAGGCTCACCAACATGCTGGAGCAGGTGAGATCAGTCAGCCAGTCAGTCAGTCAAGGCAGGCAGGCAGAGAGGAAGGAAGGCAGTTAGGCAGTTAGGCACTTAGGCAGTTAGGCACTTAGGCAGTTAGGCAGTTAGGCACTTAGGCAGTTAGGCACTTAGGCAGTTAGGCACTTAGGCAGTTAGACAGTTAGGCAGTTAGGCACTTAGGCAGTTAGACAGTTAGACAGTTAGGCACTTAGGCACTTAGGCAGTTAGGCAGTTAGGCAGTTAGGCACTTAGGCAGTTAGGCAGTTAGGCAGGCAGTTAGGCACTTAGGCAGTTAGGCACTTAGGCAGTTAGACAGTTAGACAGTTAGGCAGTTAGGCAGTTAGGCAGTTAGGCAGTTAGGCAGTCAGACAGGAGAAGTTCGAGAGGCTCACCAACAGGCTGGAGTAGGTGAATTAATCAATCAATCAATTGTGACCGACCGGCTAAATTTGATCTCATGTAGCAACATTTGAAATTGTGTTTTTTACATTGGATAAAAGTAGAGACTCAGAGATAGAAAATTGTATATCATACACTACAGTTGAGGAACAATGGGAAAATAATTCTGCTTTGAAAGTTTATAAACTTGTAACCCCACTTTTGAGAAAATGGCTCTTGAATGTTTTGGTACACCTGCTGGAGAACTCTTCTTTGTCTACACCCATTCAGCATCGTTCACACCCTCTTCAGCCTTAGCCCCACCCATCTCTTTAAGGATTCACATGTGATGCCATGTGCTAAACAGAGTGGTTACGGGAGTGTACTAAACAACCAAAGATTTCAAGACTAAAGGCTGGTTTATACTACGTCTATCGACATGTCAGTAGACAGTTGTCGAACATTCTATTGTTGTCTGACATCAACATTTTTGTTATCGTTATGAAAAAGTATAAACACAAAAGCGACAGGCTGCATGACATCAGCAGCCTGGTGGTACAAAATAGCATAACTGGTGTATTTTAACACCAATAAACCCATCCGTTTAAAAATGAATTGATTATGTAAATCTAGCAAACCAGGCAACTAAAAGCAACTTTCTAAACAATGTTTTGGTTAGTTTCTAGCTTGTTAGCTAGCTAGCTAATGTAGTTCAAATAATGACCATATCATATAGCTGACAACGTCTTAACTTTAGCTCATATGTATTCATTATTACAGGAAAATAATGTCACAACAAGATCATTATTTACAAGTTAATGGTGAGCTAATTACAGAAAATAGCTTACGGTTGTGAGTGAAACGAAATAAAAGCAGGGCATTCTACCGGAGAATTTTTGAACTTGTACACTGTCTCATTGGCCTAACATTATATCCTAATTTGACTTTGGTGCAGGTCATGTTGTTCTTCACATTACCGACTCTGGTAAACACACACTATATCAAATAAAATCTAAGTTTATTTGTCACATGCACAGGATACAGAAGGTGTAAACACTTGCATAGTGGAGTCTTTTGTTTAGACATGTAGCTAGCTAGCTAAACAATTAACCATAATCCCAACACATAACGTTACTATCCTGCATGAATCTGCTGGTAGCTAAAACTAACCAACTAGGGTCAATGCTAGCTAGCTAGCTAGCTAACATTAGGCTATAACTAGGAATGCAAATGGCTCTGAGATACAAATAATAATACTAGACAGATCATACACATAACGTTAGCTAACGAGCCAGCCAGCTAACGTTAGTTAGCTAGCTAACAGTACGCTTGAACTTGCAATGAAAATGACTTTCTGACAAAATTATAAATGTATAATATCTGAAAATGTAGCTAGCTAGACTCTCTTACACGAATACATGGATGAACGCTTCTCCCTCTCTGTCACAGATGCCATGGTTGCCCTTAGTTTGAAGATGTAATCCGGAGACAGGTGTTTTATACAACAGCCTTCTGGCGTGTTCTCTTTTCGACTCCCTCCGCATATTTGCAATCAAACGCCAGAACTTTTCCATCTCCTTAGCTATCATACCCTGCTTCCCCCGGACATTCCACTGATTTCAAAACTCGGTCCTCCAGAAAGTGGAGAGCATCTTTAAAAAAAACAGCATTAGAAAGGATTACCTGCACATACTGAGCAACTCATGTTATAGACAGAAGCGTGCTACATGGCAGACCAATCCGAACTCATCTCTTGGCATGTCCAGCCCATCCATTATCTCAGCCAATCATGGCTAGCGGGAAGGTTCCTGTCTTTTTTCGGGGCTAAACCAACTAGGCTCGAAATGTAACAATTCTATTTGTATATACAGATGGCATATACATTTGTTATTAAGGCACATGAAGTTCACATGTTCCAGAAGGCATTTCTGCCCCAGAAATGTTTTGGGATAAAAAATTAATGTTTACATGCCTCTCCTGTGAATTAGTGACGCGCAACATACGTCTAGTTTCCTGAAACTAGTCACAATTATGCAATCAATCATGTAATCAATCTGTGCAATCTAAAACAGGTGACAGCACCATTTGGTAAAGCAAATAACTAGAGGAAACATTTTTTTTTCATTTTAATTTGAGAGCTGCAGTGGATTTTACAATTCTAGAGTGCTTATTTGAATTAAGTTGAATAAATTTGCTAAAACATTATGAATTATTATTATTTTGTATAAACCGAGATGGCCCAGATTGTACCAAACACAATTAGGTCATATTTCACTATACAGACCCAAAAATACTCAGGTTTAGGTATAGTTCATTCCAGTCAGTGGTAATAGGTCAAATTCTAGATGTTTGGATATCTTCTGGCTCCAATCCATAGCCACGGGAAGTAGTGATGCTGAGGGTGGTGCAGCACCCCATGAAAAATCAGAATAAAAAATATATATACAGTGTATATATTTTTTAAATGAACAAAATATTTTTTCACAAAAGTAGTGCACTCTGCCTTTAATAGTCCTGCATTAGCGGACCAATATAGCCGTCTGCAGCGCGGGCAAAACGTAGCACCCATACCCGCAAAATTCTTCCCGTGGCTATGCGCCACTCAGTTGCCTATATGTAGTCGGAGTTGAATTAACGGAATAACCCCCTTCTCTGTTTCATAATGTACTCATCCACCGCCCCCCAGGCAACCAGTGTCTCTATCTCACGTTTCAATTATTCAGCAAATCTCTGCTCCGGCATCTGTCACTGTGCTAACGACTTGGTGTGTATGTGAGTGTGTGTGTGTTTATGATCCCCGGGCACACCACCAACAGTACCCATCATATCTCAGTAGGCATCAGTACACACAACATCTAAATCAGCAGCTCAAATCTTTCTTCTTTTTTTTTCCTCTGCATGGGTCCCCTTTTAAAGGGTCATTATTATCATTTGTTTTCCCTAACCCTCCAGTGTTATTGTTTCCTCCAAACCGTTTAAAATTTTGTTACCTGGTTATTTAGCAAAGTCCAGAAAAATCGAGCTCACATTTTTGGAGAATTGGAGCAATGCTAGTGGATTGTATTTGTAAGCGGTGCATTCAAAAGCATTATGCTAAAACAAACAACAATTAATGCTTTACGGAGCATTCATAAAGTCTTAATAATCAGTACATAGACACTGTACCTCACAAATCATCTATAAGCAAAGTCATACTACATGGTGACATAAGCAGCAGCTGTCTTGAGTTCAAAGTCTGTTTAGCTACTTGAAATCTGCTTGTGTTCAATGATGATGATGACAATGATTCAATAAACATTCTCTGTCTCTCTCTCCGTGCCGGGAGAATTGTCATGTCTTGCCTCGCCTCAGAGAGTGTCTGTCTATGTAATTCCTTGTGTGGCACTCATCCGGATGCCTGCTCATTTGTTTAGACAGTCTGCACGTCTGATTTCTCCCCATGAAAGACAATGTTCACTCGGTGACAAGCCGCTCACACTGGGTTGTCATTCAACTGACAGCCAATTAAGCATGCTAATGCTAATTCAGTCGGCTTCACTTAACGTTTGTCGAACGTTTGTCCCTTTCCAGTCGGGTTGACTTAACGTTTCTCCCTCCCTTCTCTCGCAGATTGTCAGCGTCGGAAAACATGTCAAAGGCTACCATTACATCATGGCTAATTTGGTGAGGGAAAAATCCTGGCATGTCTTGACTACACCCTTTCTCTCTCTCTCTCTCTCTCCTCTCCTCTCTCTCCTCCTCTCTCTCTCCTCTCGCTCTCTCTCTCTCTCCCTCTCTCTCCTCTCTCTCTCTCTCTCCTCTCTCTCTCTCTCTCTCTCTCTCTCTCTCTATATATATATATATATATATATATATATATATATATATATCTCTCCTCTCTCTCTTCTCATCTATGTAATTAGTATTCAGCCCATTTCCACAGTGACAGTGTATTAATGATGTCCAGAGAAAGACAGCTCAGCGTGTGTGTGTTTACGTGTGTGTGTCCATCTACCGTATGTGCATACTTGCGTGAGTGGGTGAGTGTGTGCATGCGTAAGTGTGTGTGGGTGTGAGTGTGTGTGCGTTTGCGTGTGTGTGACACAGCATTGGAGGCATCAGAGCACTTGGCTGGGAGAGATTACTGTTGGCACAATCCTTCTTACCAGCCCTCTGCTATTGAAGCAGGGAGTCAACACAATTCAGACCCAACCGGTGATCTTAGAAAAGGCTAGGGGAGAATTCTGAGCACTGTTTGGTGTCCTTTTATGTTGTGGTATCACATACAGTGTCCTGTCTCTGTTTCTCTCTCTTTCTCTCTCTCTTTGCCTCTCTCCCACTCCCTCTCTCTCTCTCCCCATACCTTGCTTTATTTCTATCCCTCTTTCTATTTACCTTTTGCCTACCTCCATCACTCTCCTTACCTCTATCTATAAATGTAATTCTCTCTCTCTCTCTCTCTCTCTCTCTCTCTCTTCTTCCCTGCCCTCTGCCTCCATCCATCCCTAACGCTCCATCTCCCCCCCCCCCCCCAGGGGTTTAAGGACATCAACCTGGAGCGCTTCATGCACGGAGGGGCCAACGTGTCGGGCTTTCAACTAGTGGACTTCAGCAACCCCATGGTCATCAAGCTGATGCAGCGCTGGAACAAGCTTGACCAGAGGGAGTACCCGGGCTCCGACAGCCCCCCGAAGGTAACACCCTACCTGGGGGTTAATAAGTCCTCTCTCATCTTCACTAATGTCCTGCCTTCTCCCCCATCCACTGAAGAGCAACAGCCCCCTCCCATGGTACACCATGCCTGGGGTAATAAAGGCCTCTCCCCTCTCTCCTAAGGTTCTCTCCTGTCTCTCCTCTAAGGCTTGGAGGATAGCACCCAGGGAGGATTTGACAGAGCTGAGCCTGAGTCAATCAGGATCAGACCTGAGACCTTTTCCAATGCCATGACTGTCCTTCTGGGCTCACTTTATATGGCTTTAGGATCCTTAAGGACCAACTGCAGAGGTGCAGGGTTAGCTAGGGCATGGAGAGGTTCACACACACACACACACACATACACACACACTTAAAATACCTTACAGTACCTGCTAACTGTGGTGCAGTCTCATCGGCACTGTCAAGTGCCAGGTTCAGGCAATGGGATTGTATCTCAATCCTCTCTCTCAGTCTCACACCTGTGGACTTTCTCAGTGTTGGAACAGTAGAGCCCAATGCCTGAGGGAGTTCGACTCTTGCTAGGGGCCCATTGCCATTAGCGAACTTTAGCTGGCCTGCTGCACTTGACTGCACTGGACCGCCCTCTGTGATCAGGCTTAGCTTGGCTTGGATTGGCTCGGCTGGGGTGGGCTGGGGTGGACTACAGTGGGTTAAAGGGACAGTTCACTCTTTTGAAGTTCTATCTTATTTTCGGCATACTGAGGGTGTCGTCATTTCATCCAAACCATTTTTTAAGCTTGTTTGCTGGTTATTTAACAACATCCAGAGTGTAGCGATGCCAGTGGAAACTGATCAAAAAAGCCTTGGGAAATAGCTTGGCCTACCGCAAAGATGTACTGCTAACTGGATCAATTAATTTTCACTAGCATGGCTTCATGCTTCAAAAACGCTAGCCAGGAGATTCTGGTTGTTGCTAAATAACCAGCGAAGGAACATAAAAACGGTTTGGATAAAACAACAACGAAGAAGTTGAAAAAAAGCTAAAACATCAATAAATAACTCTCTCTTTAAGGGTCTCGGCGACCAGCAGTCACCCACCACCCGCATCATGAGTCAGAAGCTCTGAGCGGAGAAGGAGAAGCTAGAGGGGAGAAGGAGGGAGGGAGTGATGGAGGGAGGGAGAGAGAGGGAATGGATGGAGAGAAAAAGAGGGAGGGAGAGGGAGGGGTGGATAGAGTGAGGAAGGAATAGAGGGAAGGAGGGCTGAAGGAGAGAGGGAGGGGATGACGGAGGGATGAATGGAGGGAGGGAGGAAGGGAGAGGACATCATGATCAGCACTGTTGTTGGTCCACACTGTGGGCCATTGGCCCTAGCTGACAGACTGACCTGTTTAAGCTATACTGCTGTGCCACGCCAAGCAGTGTGTGTAAGAGTGTGTTTTTGATCCAATATCACCATTCCAATGTTCTCCCTACCAAACAGCCTCTCAGTCTCTGCTCTACAGTAGCACCATTCATCATTGCTGTACTGAGTGGAGCACCACTATGTTCTGGTCACACTCTAGATGGAGGTCAACCAAACAGCCACAACACCCTCATAACTCCTTGGCAGGATTGTCCCTCTTATCTGTTCAAGTGCCCAGACTGTTATTGATGGCGTGCCTGTGCCAGTTGATGCTAACCTTCGTGCCCAGGGAGCGGGTGGCATCAGTGGTGGTTATCAAACTGTTTATCGCCCCTCATTGGTTTAGGCAGCATGTCTGCCCCGACAGGGGGTTGATGGTCCGCACACACACACACACACACACACACACACACACACACACACACACACACACACACACACACACACACACACACACACACTACCATTCAAAAGTTTGGGGTCACTTAGAAATGTCCTTGTTTTCGAAAGAAAAGCAAAACGGCTGACTTTTAATGGAATATCTACGTAGGCATACAGAGGCCCATTATCAGCAACCATCAGTCCTGTGTTCCAATGGCACGTTGTGTTTGCTAATCATTTTAAAAGGCTTATTGATCATTAGAAAACCCTTTTGCAATTATGTTAGCACAGCTGAAAACTGTTGTGATGATTAAAGAAGCCTTCTTGAGACTAGTTGAGTATCTGTAGCATCAGCAATTGTGGGTTCGATTACAGGCTCAAAATGGCCAGAAACAAATAACTTTCTTCTGAAACTCATCAGGCTATTCTTGTTCTGAGAAATGAAGGCTATTCCAAGCGAGAAATTGCCAAGAAACTGAAGATCTCGTACAACGCTGTGTACTACTCCCTTCACAGAACAGCGCCAACTGGCTATAACCAGAATAGAGCAACTGAGCAATAGCACAACTGAGCAAGAGGACAAATACATCAGAGTGACTAGTTTGAGAAACAGACACCTCACAGGTCCTCAATTGGCAGTTTCATTAAATAGTACCCGCAAAACACCAGTCTCAACGTCAACAGTGATGAGGAGACTCTGGGATGCTGGACCTTCTAGGCAGAGTTGCAAAGAAAAAGCCATATCTCAGACTGGCCAATAAAAAGAAAAGATTAAGATGGGCAAAAGAACACAGTCACTGAACAAAGGAAGATTGGAAAAAAGTGTTATGGACAGACAAATCGACGTTTGAGGTGTTCGGATCACAAAGAAGAACATTTATGAGACGCAGACCAAATGAAAAGATGCTGGAGGAGTGCTTGATGCCATCTGACAAGCATGGTGGAGGCAATGTGATGGTCTGGGGGTGCTTCGGTGGTGGTAAAGTGGGAGATTTGTACAGGGTAAAAGGGATCTTGAACAAAGAAGGCTATCACTCCATTTTGCAACGCCATGCCATACCCTGTGGACGGCGCTTGATTGGAGCCAATTTCCTCCTACAACAGGACAATGACCCAAAGCCCAGCTCCAAACTATGCAATAACTATTTAGGGAAGAAGCAGTCAGCTGGTATTCTGTCTATAATGGAGTGGCCAGCACAGTCACCGGATCTCAACCCTATTGAGCTGTTGTGGGAGCAGCTTGACCGTATGGTACTTAAGAAGTGCCCATCAAGCCAATCCAACTTGTGGGAGGTGCTTCAGGAAGCATGGGGCGAAATCTCTTCAGATTACCTCAACAAATTGACAACTAGAATTCCAAAGGTCTGCAAGGCTGTAATTGCTGCAAATGGAGGATTCTTTGACGAAAGCAAAGTTTGAAGGACACAATTATTATTTCAATTAAAAATAGTTATTTACATTTTAGTCATTTAGCAGACACTCTTATCCAGAGCGACTTACAGTTAGTGAATACATATATATATATTTTTTTATATTTTTTATTTTTTATACTGGCCCCCCGTGGGAATCGAACCCACAACCCTGGCGTTGCAAACGCCATGCTCTATCAACTGAGCTACATCCCTGCCGGCCATTCCCTCCCCTACCCTGGACGACGCTGGGCCAATTGTGCACCGCCCTTGAGTCTCCCGGTCGCGGCCGGCTGCGACAGAGCCTGGATTCGAACCAGGATCTCTAGTGGCACAGTTAGCACTGTGATGCAGTGCCTTAGACCACTGCGCCACTATTTCTAACCTTGTCAATGACTACATTTCCTATTCATTTTGCTATATTTCCTATTCAAACTCATTTCATGTATGTTTTCATGGAAAACAAGGACATTTCTAAGTGACCGCAAACTTTTGAACGTTAGTGTACACACAGAAGACCCCCTCACCCTCCCTCCCACCCAACCACCCACCTACCTACCTACCTACCTACCTACCTACCTACCTACCTACCTACCTACCTACCTACCTACCTACCTACCTACCTACCTACCTACCTACCCACCTACCTACCCACCTACCTACCCACACCACACACACATGCATCCTGTTCCCCCCACAGAGAGCTGTAATGAGCGAGGGAGTGATGAGGGAGAGCTGGGTTAATGAGTAGGATTCCCCCAGGCCAGAGGCAAAGTTACAGTGCTTTCAGAAAGTATTCACTCCCCTTGACTTTTTCAACATTTTGTTGTGTTACAGCCGGAATTTAAAGTGGATTCAATTAAGATTTTGTGTCACTGGCCTACACACAGTACCCTATAATGTCAAAGTGGAATTAGGTTTTTAGAAGTTACAAATAAATGATAAATTAAAAGCTGAAATGTCTTGAGTCAATAAGTATTCAACCCCTTTGTTATGGCAAGCCTAAATAAGTTAAAATCGAACACAACACATCACTGAGTACCACTCTTCATATTTTCAAGCATGGTGGTGGCTGCATCATTTTATAGGTTTGCTTGTCATCAATAAGGACAAGGGATTGTTTTTGAATAAAAAGAAATGGAATAGCGCTAAGCACAGGCAAAATCCTAGAGGAAAACCTGGTTCAGTCTGCTTTCCACCAGACACTGGGATATTAATTCACCTTTCAGCAGGACAATAACCTAAAATACATAGCCAAATCTACACTGGAGTTGCTTACCAAGAAGACAGTGAACGTTCCTGAGCGTCCGAGTTACAGTTTTGACTTAAATCTGCTGCAAAATCTATAACAAGACCTGAAAATGGTTGTCTAACAATGATCAACAACCAATTTGACAGAGCTTGAACAATTATGAAAAGAATAATGGTCAAAATGTTGCATAATCCAGGTGTAGAAACCTCTTAGAGACTAACCCAGAAAGAAACAGCTGTAACTGCTGCGAAAGGTGCACAGCTGTAGCTGCTGCCAAAGGTGATTCTAACTAATTGTATTGACTCTTATCTAATCTAGATATATTAGTGTTTTATTTTTCATATTTGTCTTACAAACTGTTTGAATTTTTCTTCCACCTTGACATTACAGAGTATTTTGTATAGATCGTTTGTATTTAAAAAAAAATTTAAATCCATTTTAATCCCACTTTGAAACACAACAGAATGTACTTTATGACATGGGTTATTGTTATCTGATTGGTAATGAACTTGGTGCTTGGCGTCACACGCAATGCAACAATCTTCCTTGCTGCAAATAATATATTTTATGCCCAGTGCGCACACGCAGAAACCTTTCTCTCTTTTCATAGTCACACACACGCACACACACATGCACACCCCATCCCCTCCATCACACACACACCTGACGATTCTCTCCTGTTCCCCAGTACACGTCGGCTCTGACGTATGACGGCGTGATGGTGATGGCGGAGGCCTTCAGGAACCTGCGTAGGCAGAAGGTTGACATCTCTCGCCGGGGCAACGCTGGGGACTGTCTGGCAAACCCCGCCGCCCCCTGGAATCAGGGCATTGACATGGAGCGCACCCTTAAACAGGTATCTAACACTGCACCTCAAAGCCATTTCGGTTCATGAAATACCTTATTTCTGCAAACTCAATGATGTCCACAAAGGACAAACTGTCAATACCACAAACTGTTTCCTTTGAAATGTGTCTTATTTAAAGTAGGACGAAGGTATACCTGCATTCTTTGTGACTCTGATGATAGTGTTTTGTCCTGTGTACAGGTCCGGCTGCAGGGACTAACAGGTAATGTCCAGTTTGACCACTATGGACGCAGGGTCAACTACACCATGGACGTGTTTGAGCTGAAGAACAACGGACCCAGACGGGTAAGATGACTACTGGTCCACCCACCTCACTGCCCACGCTGTCCTGCTATCATACCATAACCCAGTCATTTGAAAACATAATAACTATATGTTTGAATATCTATTTACTATATGTTAACTATATGTTTCATTTTATTCTCAATTTCCATCACTGCCCATGCTTTCTAGCTAACACCATAATAACTATACCATAATACCACTATAACATAATAACTCAATCATATTGAAAACATAATATGAACATTTGAATAACAAATAACTTTGTTTCATTTCATTTTCAATTTCCATGGTTTAAAATGCCAGAAGAGAACATCTGTTTATCTGTTTATCATCTTATTATTGTCTGTGTGTCTGTAGAACCTGGGTATTGTGTATTAGTGAGCTCTATATTCAAATTGCTGCATGAACAGTACACTCAGGCTTCGAGAATATGCGTGTGCATGTGCTCCTGTGTGTGTGTGTGTGTGTGTTTTGCCGTGTCCTGTATATTATTTTCAGCGCTGTGTGTGTACGTGCGGGACTCCAGCCAACTACGGTACGTGAATAGAGAGAGGTGGAGAGGTAGAGAGAGATAGTGATGGAGGAGAGAGAAGGGGATGAAGTGGAGGGGTGGTTGGGCCTGCCCACTGGCTGGCTCTGCATACATGCATGTGTGCACACCACGCACGCGTGTACTTACACACACACACACACACAAACACACTCACACCTACCCGTGAGCTCGTCAATCATTCCTACCCTTAGCAGAGAGAGAAAGGAGCAGTTCACCCCCCTTCTTCCTGCTCAATGGCAGACACCACCAGCATGAAATAAAACCCTGTCTAGCTTTATTAGGTACCATGTATAAAACAGTATATAACAATAACTTCCTTAGCTTGACTCACCTATTATACGACTCAGATTCATATACTCTATAATAAAAAACTAAACATTGTGCATTTTAATGTACTGTACATGACACAAAAAAGCATACAATTTGTGTGACTCTTATCCTTTGCATGTATACACACAAAATATCTCAGATAGTCTCACAGATCCTAACACCACATAATTAACACAAATATACTGGAAACGACACGTACTCTACGGTGAGTAATCATGACAAACACATTCAAACAACGAAGAAAGCATACCACGCACAAACACGCACGCACACACACACATACTGTGCACACACACACACACACACCCTGGGCGTTTCACTCACTGTCCTCTCATTGTCTCCAGATGGGTTACTGGACGGATTCAGACAAGCTGGTTCTGATCCAGAATGAAGTCCTCAATCCCAATGAAATTATGGAAAACAGAACTGTTGTGGTCACCACTATCATGGTAAGATGCACTACAACCCTACTAACACACATGCACATGTGTACACACACACACACACACAAAGAGAGACACACATGTGCACACACACAAAAAGACACACACACACCATAGAGACACAGACACACACATCCTCTAGCGCTCTCAAGTCTTAGTGTTCTCCCGGAAGGGCTTTCCTCTACCTTCCTTCAGTCACACAAACACACACATTATCCAAAACACACATCAACATTGGCACTGCAGATGCTTTTGAGACGTTGTTACACTAGGTGTGATGGAGATTGTATAAATGTCACTGTAAGTGCAGTACCTGCCATGACTAGCCTAGTCCCCTTTATAAAATGCATGAGCTGCATTCTGTATCCTTGCCAGAGACTGCTACACCCACATTTTAAGAGCTGTCAGTCAATGTGGCCAGACAAAGTCAGATTATATTACTCAAACACACACACACACACACACACACACACACACACACACACACACACACACACACACACACACACACACACACACACACACACACACACACAGACACACACACACAGACACAAACACAGGCACACGCATGTACACACACAAACACACACACACAAACACACGTGCGCAAACAGAAACATACAAACAACTCTCTGGGCACAACTTTCTCTTACACAGCACTCATTGTTTAGTTAGTAGGCCTACTTACTAGAGCTCATGACCCAACTGATACTTGGACACAAAATGGCTGCCTGTTTGCTTGGTTTCTGTTAGTTAAATTTGGACTAATACTGTAACCATGTCTGCACCACAATTCAAAATGGCCACCGGTTGCATGGAATGTGAACTATGGGTACTAAATAAGAAGGCTTTTCATACTACTGAGCCGAACCGAGCCAAGCCAAACCAAGCTGTGCTGAGCTGGCCTGGTTACGCATCCATCATAGTTGCTGGAACTGAGCTGAAAAGGACAATGTGAAAAGAAAATGTCCACAGTTTGGCACAGTTTGGTTCGGGTCGGCATGATAGTGTGAAAACGGTGAAGATGTGCTGTGTTTCTGAGATTAAAGGTGGCTGACTAGATAAGAGGAGTTGAAGAGAACAGGGTAAGAAAAGACAGAGTGAGTAGAGTAGGGATGGAAATGGGATTGGAGAGTCATACCTCAGCAGAATCCTCCTCTTTTCAGCCCCTGGTGAGGAAACCCATTTTAAGAAACTGAGAAACTGGACACAAGCAGAGACCAAATGAAAGCACATATTGGGAAACTGACGGACAGTATTGGACGTAACCAGAGCCAGAGTGAACCCCCTAAAGAACAGACTGATGCAACGGAGAGCTGTGTCATGAATTCTAATGCACACCTTATTAGTTAACTGACCCAAGGGATGGATCTATCCAGAGCCAAAATGAACCCCCTCAAGAAGACACAAAATGGACACAGTCTGACCAAATTACGTTTTTTCTTTTTTTTACTGAACGAAGATGGAGAGAGATAGGAGTCACAATGGACCCTTCGTCCTGCCTAAGGCAACAAGAATGTTTGTTCATCTAGTCAAACATCCCATCAACATGGTTGCACTTAACTGTGTGTGTGTGTGTGTGTCTGCAAATGTGTGTTTGCATACAATTGGTCTCAATTAACTCTAGGATATAAATGTTCTCATTACATGAATTTCCATGCCTGGCATATTCCAGGTGATTATGGCTGATACAGTATTTGGTATTGAAATGCAAAAATGTAGAAATGGATGTTAAGATTTTAACGAACTAACTTGAAAAATGCTCTGAGGCTGCTCTGAATCCGTGAGTTTCCATTCAATTTTTGTATATAAGAGCTTTATAACACACCTTCTAAAGCACTGCCATTTTTATAATTTCAGCTCATATACATCACATCACCATGCTTCCATAGAGCATGATAATATCAGTGTTTAACTATGCTGGCTGTGTCGGATAGCATCTGTAATGTGTGTTTGCGCTTGATAATGCACTTGATAATGTTTGTTTACTGTAATATACACTAATTAAGCTTTCACTTCCGAATTACATTCTTTGTCGACTATGATAAGCCGAAACTGTAACTCAAACCTGGAACCTCAACTGTGCAGAAGTCTGTTATTGTCAGATACAAAGTCGATCGAAAAAGTTTTGGGAGAGGATGGATGAGGTATCAGGAGTAGGGCATCAGTATTAGGAAGTTGTCAGTTGTTATACTTCCTAATATGGATGCCGTGTAGTAGCTCCCCCTTGATTCACCTATAGTGAAGTTTAATCTCCACACTAAACTTTGAAAAGTGCCAGGTAGCATCTGTTCAGCTGTTTTTCATGTAAATATGCAATTATTTCTCATGACAAGCCTTCATTTGGACTGGTATAGGAATCATTCATCCACAGTGATAGCTCTGAATATGGCTCATCTCGAGACTGATAGTAAACGCCTGTGTCCGTCGCTCGCCTGATTCATAGGCTATATTCTTCAAAGCATTTCACACAAAGAAGCCATTAAAATTGGTGTTAAGTTGTACATGGGACAACGTTGTGCCAAAACCCTACAAGGGACCTAAGGGGAACATAACCTAATATCCTTAGGACGTCCCCTGTTTGCTGAGGGTATTTCAGAATTAGGAATGAGGGTATGTCAGAAATCAAATACCCATTTCCACCTCATATCAACGACAAGGCAACTGAATGGTGTTTTATCCCAACCACAGCAGCTGGGGGGACTTACTGATAGCACCTGAACCTCAGCTGAGAAAGCACCTTGAACGTTTTCAAATAGCTCATTGTACTCATGCTTGAAATGTGCTCAATTTACTGAATGTCATGCACCCAATTGAAAAATAAAGGTTTGATTTGTGCCATAAGTGGTTGGTGCTGACTGGGACACAGATGAGCTGTTTTTTTTTGAGAGAGAGAGAGAGAGAGAGAGAGAGAGAGAGAGAGAGAGAGAGAGAGAGAGAGAGAGAGAGAGAGAGAGAGAGAGAGAGAGATCGAGAGAGAGAGAGAGAGAGAGAGAGAGAGAGATCCTCCCTCGCTCTGCGCTCCCTCGCTCATATCTCTCTCTCTCTCTCTCTCGCTCCTCTCTCCTTCTCTCTCTCTCTCTCATCTTGGCGTATTCTCGAGAGAGAGAGAGAGAGAGCGAGACCAGTGTCTCTTATTCAAGGGAGCCCTGCACATATAATTTCTAAAAAATCTAATACAATATTAAACAAGTAAAATTCTGCACAGATAAACATACATAATATACATAAAACACAATCAACTAAAACAAACACATTCTAAACTGCCCCAGGGATACTAAGGCCTCTATGTGTACTGTTTTTGGGAGAAAAACGAAAGGCTGATTTACCTAACTCTGAAGACACAAAAGGAGTCTCCAGAGTTAACCAACCCTGTGTTTTGGTTTGACAAGAAGTCCTGAAAAGGCTAGTAAAACAAAGGAAACTCGAGGGATTTGGGGACGTTTCGCCGGTCCCCACATGGAAAACAAGCTACACTGAACAAAAATATAAACGCAACATGCAACAATTTCAAAAGTTTTACTGAGTTATAGTTCATATAAGGAAATCAGTCAATTTAAATAAATTCATAAGGCCCTAATCTATGAATTTCACATGACTGGGAATACAGATATGCATCTGTTGGTCACAGATACCTTAAAAAAAAGGTAGGGGCGTGGCTCAGAAAACCAGTCAGTATCTGGTGTGACCACCATTTGCCTCATGCAGCACAACACATCTCCTTCACATAGAGATTATCAGGCATTTGATCGTGGCCTGTGGAATGTTGTCCCGCTCCTCTTCAATGGCTGTGCGACATTGCTGGACATTGGTGGGAACTGGAACATGCGGTCGTACACGTCGATCCAGAGCATCCCAAACATATTCAATGGGTGACGTCTGGTGAGTATGCAGGCCATGGAATAACTGGGACATTTTCACCTTCCAGGAATTGTGTACAGATACTAGCGACATGGGGCCGAGCATTATCATGCCCGAACATGAGTCGGCGGATGAATGGCACGACAATGGGCCTCAGAATCTCGTCACGGTATCTCTTTGCATTCAAATTGCCATCGATAAAATGTAATTGTGCTCGTTGTCCGTAGCTTATGCCTGACCATACCATAATCCCACCGCCACCATGTGGCACTTTGTTCACAGCGTTGACATCAGCACACCGCTCGCCCACATGACGCCATGAACACTGTCTGCCATCTGCCCGGTACAGTTGAAACTGGGATTCATCCATCAAGAGCACACTTCTCCAGCGTGCCAGTGACCATCAAAGGTGAGCATTTGAACACTGAAGTCGGTTACAACGCTGAACTGCAGTCAGGTCAAGACCCTGGTGAGGATGACCAGCATACAGATGAGCTTCCCTGAGACGTTGTCTGACAGTTTGTGCAGAAATTCTTGTGCAAACCCACAGTTTCATCGGCTGTCCGGGTGGCTGGTCTCAGACCATCCCGCAGGTGAAGAAGCCGGATGTGGAGGTCCTGGGCTGGCGTGGTTACACATGGTCTGCGGTTGTGAGGCCGGTTGGACATACTGCCAAATTCTCTAAAATGACGTTGGAGGCGACTTATGAAATGAACATTAAATTCTCTGGCAACAGCTCTGGTGGACATTCCTGCAGTCAGCATGCCAATTGCACACTCCCTCAAAACTTGAGACATCTGTGGCATTGTGTTGTGTGACAAAACTGCATATTTTAGAGTGGCCTTTTGTTGTCCCTAGCACAAGGTGTACATGTGTAATGATCATGCTATTTAATCAGCTTCTTGACATGCCACACCTGTCAGGTGGATGGATTATCTTGGCAAAGGAAAAATACTCACTAAAAGGGATGTAAAATAAATTGTGCACAACATTTGAGAGAAATAAGGTTTTTGTGCGTAAGAAAAATGTAGGCCATCTTTTATTTCAGCTCATGAAACATGGGACCAACAGTTTACATGTTGTGTTTATATTTTTGTTCAGTGTATTTTAAGCTTAGTGGTTAGGTTTAGGGTTAGGGTTAGAATTAGGGTTAGAATTAAGGTTAGGGGTTAGGGGTTAGAGAAAAAGAGAGACATGGAGTGCTTGGTTTGGTGTATTAAACCCTAGAGTGATTGGATGTTTAAGGTCAATATATAGCCCAGTATATAGTTTATTTTTGTTTTATTTATTCATCAAGAAACTATCAATAGGCTACATAGCTTGATCAAATTGATTTACAAAGACCTCCTGCAAGTCCTGCCCATCACTATACACTCTCTCCTCCTCTTTGCTCCATGATGCACCTTGGAAGGAACCACTTACTAGGGAGAATGGGGGATACTCTTTGCCTGGTCCAGTCAGTGTGACCCCTCTGCAAAATACAGCTGATGTATCTTTTTTTATAAATAATTATGCTAAAACGTGGACTTAAACATTACGTTTAGTAATTCATTTAACATCAGAAATGTTTAAAAACAGGACAAATCTGAGGGGGCACGTTCCATTGTGCCCCCTAAGGGCATGATGCCTCTGCACACACATGTATATATTAAAGACAGTAAATGCATGTGTGAGTTGACATTCAAATTGACAGATACAGTCTGTCTGATATATGAGGAGTATGTACAGTACCAGTTAAAAGTTTGGACACACCTACTCATTCAAGGGTTTTTCTTTCATTTTCTTTTACAATTTTCTACATTGTAGAATAATTGTGAAGACATCAAAACACATATGGAATCATGTAGTACCAAAAAAGTGTTAAACAAATGAAAATATATTTTATATTTGAGATTCTTCAAATAGCCACCCTTTACCTTGATGACAGCTTTGCACACTCTTGGCATTCTCTCATCCAGCTTCATGAGGTAGTCACCTAGAATGGATTTCAATTAACAGGTGTGCCTTGTTAGAAGTTAATTTGTGGAATTTCTTTCCTTCTTAACGCGTTTGAGCCAATCAGTTGTGTTGTGACAAGGTAGGGGTGGTATAGAGAAGATAGCCCTAGTTGGTAAAAGATCAAGTCCATTTTATGGCAAGAACAGCTCAAATAAGCAATGAGAAACGACAGTCCATCATTACTTCAAGACATGAAGGTCAGTCAATTTGGAACATTTCAAGAACTTTGAAAGTTTCTTCGAGTGCAGTCGAAAAAACCATCAAGCGCTACGATGAAATTGGCTCTCATGAGGACTGCACAGGAAAGGAAGACCCAGAGTTACCTCTGCTGCAGAGGATAAGTTCATTAGAGTTTCCAACCTCAGAAATTGCAGCTCAAATAAATGCTTCACAGAGTTCAAGTAACAGACACATCTCAGCATCAACTGTTCAGAGGAGACTGTGTGAATCAGGCCTTCATGGTCGAATTGCTGCAAAAAAAACACAACTAAAGGACACCAATAAGAAGAAGAGACTTGCTTTGGCCAAGAAACACGAGCAATGGACATTAGACCAGTGAAAATCTGTCCTTTGGTCTGGTGAGTCCAAATTGGAGATGTTTGGTTCCATCCACCGTGTGAGACGCAGAGTAGGTGAACGGATGATCTCCGCATGTGTGGTTCCCACCGTGAAGCATGGAGGAGGAGGTGTGATGGTGTAGGGGTGCTTTGCTGGTGACACTGTCTGTGATTTATTTAGAATTCAATGCACACTTAACCAGCATGGCTACCACAGCATTCTGCAGCGATACACAATCCCATCTGGTTTGCACTTAGTGGGACTATCATTTTTTTTTAAACAGGACAATGACCCAACACACCTCCAGGCTGTGTAAGGGCTATTTGACCAAAAATTAGAGTGATGGAGTGCTGCATCAGATGACCTGGCCTCCACATTGTGGTCCTCTGTAGCTCAATTGGTAGAGCATGGCGCTTGTAACGCCAGGGTAGTGGGTTCGATCCCCGGGACCTCCCATACGTAAAAATGTATGCAAACATGACTATAAAAGCGTCTGCTAAATATTATATTATTATTATTACATTCACCCGACCTCAACCCAATTGAGAGTGTTTGGGATGAGTTGGACCGCAGAGTGAAGGAAAAGCAGCCAACAAGTGCTCAGCAACTCCTTCAAGACTGTTGGAAAAGCATTCCAGGTGAAGCTGGTTGAGAGTTTGCCAAGAGTGTGCAAATCGGTCACCAAGGCAAAGGGTGGCTAGTTTGAAGAATCTAAAATCTATATTGATTTGTTTAACACTTCTTTGGTTACTACATTATTCCATATGTGTTATTTCATAGTTTTGATGTCTTCACTATTATTCTACAATGTAGAAATTATTAAAAAGAAAGAAAACTTTTGACTGATCCTGTAGGTGATATTTGGGTGTCTGTAAATCCGGAGACACAGAGCCCCAAAAAATCAAGGTAACAACATTATATATATAAACGAGGACAGGGAAAAATCATTGTTTAGCCCCTTTGGATCCACAGTGTCTAAGGAGTACTTCCAAAACACCTCTCTTTGTTTTAGTTTAGGTACAATATCACCTCCTCTTGGTGAAATTTGGACCGTTCTATGGCTACAAAACGCAGGGAGGAAGTTGAGCCATGATTGGCTTTGATGCAGTGGCGCGCAATAGCATAGTCCGTGTTTTTATTTAGAATAGCAGCCTTATATTCTGCAATGCGAAGTTTCAATGCTCGTTTAATTTGACCAATATAAGCAGCCCCGCAGATACATTTGAGCATGTACACTACAAAACAAGTTCCCAGTTGTCTTGAACTCCCTGAAGTCAAGTTTTCGCAGTTCCGAGTTAACAGCTGTTTTGAGCGCGGCACAAATCATGCTTCAATGAGAGCATGGCCAATTAATCCCAGATTTGGGACAACACAGCCACTCCACTGAATAGCAGGCTAGTGATTGCTTTGCAATGCTTGCAGTTAGCCACTGATTCCTTCCAAACCACTCATTGTTGAATTTGCGATTTCCAACTTATTGTGTAATGTTTATGTCCAATGGCCAATGAGCACCAATACGTTTTATCTATAATTTCTCTTCATTATTTATCTTCATATGACAAGGATTAAAAAGGATTTGCCAGTAGATTGTCGACTTGATTCATGATGATGACTGCTAGCTAAGATTTTGAAAGTATGATTTTGACATGATCAGTCCAATCAAAGCTACTGTAGATATAACGTGATTTGACGTCATTTTATCTGTGGCCAATGACCTTGAGCCTTCTTGGATGGGGCACTTCTAATGTAACTCTATGGCAGCACCCAATGGGCTTGAATTTTCGAGCTTGGCGGTGACGTAGTGTCCCCATGAGGGACAGAACACTGAGCCAATCACGGCGCAACTAGAGAACATTACCAAAACCTACGCTCCGTATTTTCCACTGGCTTCCCCACCACCACAGAAAGCACTGAGCTAGGCTGAAGCATCTGCATTTTGGAGCTGCCTTACTCAAGAAAGCAAAAAAGAGGCAATGTTTGTATGCGGCTGTATTAACTCAATGATTTTAATTTATTTTTTACATTGTTTGCAAACTGATATGTGACACGTATTAATAACAAAATAACATGCAAAACATGTGGGGCTCAAAACAGTTGGCGGGTCGCCACTGACCGGGTGGTTACTGTCTGCGTGTAAAAGTGTATTCCTACTCTGCAGCTTGCGGAAGATAGTAGACTCCAACTTTTTTTCTTTAATTTTGTGGATTGTAAGTTCCAAGAAGTCTATTTTCTACCGACTTCTCTCTGCTGTGAATTTGAGATTGGGGTCAGATAAATTAATATAAGAAATGAACTCTGAGAGGAGAGCGTCAGTACCGTTCTATACCAGTAGGATGTCGTCTATGTATCTTTTCCAAAGGGCGGCATTCTGGAAATATGGGTTTTTCTGGACATCATCAATTAAGTTCTCCTGCCAGTGTCCCATAAATAAATGTGCATAGTTGGGAGCGAATTCAGCTCCCATCACTGTACGCCGAATCTGCTTGTAGAAACTGCCCGCATATTGGAAGTAATTTGATGTGAGGGCTTTTTCAGTGAGAGATCGATTAAAGTTAGATGGAGGTAAGATACCCTCCAGTCTAGTGTTGAGATAGCGAGAGAGCGCTCGTAGGCCTGCGTCATGTGGGATATTAGTGTAGAGAGACTGAACGTCAGGTGTAACCAAGATGCTTTCAGTGTCGCATCTATAGGTATTGATGATCTTAAGCACATCCCTGGTATCTCCTAAAAAGGCTGGCAATACTGGCACAAATTTAGAGATGAAGAAATCTACATAATGAGATTAGCCGCTTGTTTATGGATGTTGTGGGACAATTTAGCAAAATCATGTTCTGTCAGCCTACTGTAGGTGAGGGACTCAAATTAGCATAAGGCACAAAACTCGACTTCTTTTTGAAAGTCGTTTGTTCTCTCACATCAGAAATACCAGATTTATTATAGTTTCTAAACACTGCATTGCCATTACACAATGGTTGCCTGTTAGCAAATAATACATTCTTTAAATGTAATTGGCGAACAAATTTAAAAGTGTCAAATTTCAATGCAAAAGATTCCATCCTATTAGAAGGGGAGAAAGAGAGTCCTTTACTCTGGACTGACACTTGGGCATCCATGAGATCCTCTGGTGATATGTTGATTACTGAAAGTTCTTACTGTGGTTCCGACTGGACCTCCTCAGGTGGGCTGGGGGTGGATTCCCTCCCCCTCGAGCCTGCCTCGTCTTCCTGCAGGTTAGTGCTGGTTGCCTCGCGCCCTTAAAAAAGCGGGGTTGATTCGGGAGGTATAAAGTGAGGGAAAAAATTATTATTATTATTTTTTGTTTTTTGTCATTTAGCAGACACTCTTATCCAGAGCGACTTACAGGAGCAATTAGGGTTAAGTGCCTTGCTTAAGGGCACATCGACAGATTTTTCACCTAGTCGGCTCGGGGATTAGAACCAGCGACCTTTCGGTTACTGGCACAACGCTCGGTACATGGCACCGTCCATCGTCCCTTTGATGCAGTGAAGTTGTCCTGTCCCCTTAGCAGGAAAACACCTACAAAGCATAATGTTTCCACCTCCAGGTTTGACGGTGGGGATGGTGTTCTTGGGGTCATAGGCAGCATTCCTCTTCCTCCAAACACGGCGAGTTGAGCTGATGCCAAAGAGCTCGATTTTGCTCTCATCTGACCACAACACTTTCACCCAGTTCTCTGAATCATTCAGATGTCCATTGGCAAACTTCAGACAGGCCTGTAAATGTGCTTTCTTGAGCAGGGGGACCTTGCGGCACTGCAGGATTTCAGTCCTCACGGCGTAGTGTGTTACCAATTGTTTTCTTGGAGACTATGGTCCCAGCTACCTCCTGTGTAGTTCTGGGCTGATTCCTCACCGTTCTCATGATCATTGCAACTCCACGAGGTGAGATCTTGCATGGAGCCCCAGGCCGAGGGAGATTGACAGTTATTTTGTGTTTCTTCCATTTGCGAATAATCACACCAACTGTTGTCACCTTCTCACCAAGCTGCTTGGCGATGGTCTTTTAGCCCATTCCAGCCTTGTGTAGGTCTACAATCTTGTCCCTGACATCCTTGGAGAGCTCTTTGGTCTTGGCCATGGTTGAGAGTTTGGAATCTGATTGATTGATTGCTTCTGTGGACAGGTGTCTTTTATATAGGTAACAAGCTGAGATTAGGAGCACTCCCTTTAAGAGTGTGCTCCTAATCTCAGCTCGTTGCCTGAATAAAAGACCTGGGAGCCAGGAATCTTTCTGATTGAGAGGGGGTCAAATACTTATTTCCCTCATTAAAATGCAGATCAATTTATAACATTTTTGACATGCGTTTTTCTGGATTTTTTTGTTGTTATTGTGTCTCTCACTGTTCAAATAAACCTACCATTAAAATTATAGACTGATATTTCTTTGTCAGTGGGCAAACATACAAAATCAGCAGGGGATCAAATACTTTTTTCCCTCACTGTAAGAGTGACTCTGAAGCTTCTTGCTCGCTGGCAGAGGACAGGTGAGCATCATAGTACAGTATATTTAGTAGTGCAGTATATTTACAGTTGAAGTCGGAAGTTTACATACACATTAGCCAAATACATTTAAACTCAGTTTTTCACAATTCCTGACATTTAATCCTAGTAAAAATTCCCTGTCTTAGGTCAGTTTGTCACGATCGTTATAGGAAGCAGACCAAGGCGCAGCGTGATATGCGTACATCTTTTAATGAGTACTTTCCACAAATAACAAAACAAAAAAACGATACGTGAAGTCTACAGGTTCACCAACACAAACCTATGCAGAACAAGATCCCACAATAAACTAGTGCCAACCGGCTGCCTAATTATGGTTCCCAATCAGAGACAACGAGAATCAGCTGCCTCTGATTGGGAACCACCCTGGCCAACATAGAAAACACGAACTAGAACGAAACATAGAAAATACAACATAGACACTACACACCCTGGCTCAACATTAAAGAGTCCCCAGAGCCAGGGCGTGACACAGTTAGGATCACCACTTTATTTTAAGAATGTGAAATGTCAGAATAATAGTAGAGATAATGATTTATTTCATATTTTATTTATTTCATCACATTTCCAGTGGGTCAGAAGCTTACATACACTCAATTAGTATTTGGTAGCATTGCCTATAAATTGTTTAACTTGGGTCAAACGTTTCGGGTAGCCTTCCACAAGCTTCCCACAATAAGTTGGGTGAATTTTGGCCCATTCCTCCTGACAGAGCTGGTGTAACTGAGTCAGGTTTGTAGGTCATTGTCCATTTGGAAGACCCATTTGCGACCAAGCTTTAACTTCCTGACTGATGTCTTGAGATGTTGCTTCAATATATCCACATAATTTTCCTGCCTCATGATGCCATCTATTTTGTGAAGTGCACCTGTCCCTCCTGCAGCAAAGCACCCCCACAGCATGATGCTGCCACCCCCGTGCTTCACGGTTGGGATGGTGTTCTTCGGCTTGCAAGCATTCCCTGGTGTTTGAAGAATGTGAAATTCTCCAGCTTCAACCAACCCCCCTCTATCCTCACTTACATCTTGCCCTGCCCACTCTAAAATAATATGTGAGCGTGTATACGTGTGTGTGCATGTGTGTGTGCGTGTGTGTGTGTGTGTAACGCCATGTCTAATTGTGTTCATTGCCCACTGAGACAAGAGGTGTGGGAGATTATTGACCAGCTTGTCAGCCATGATCAACTTGGACGTGAAGAGTCTGCAAAAGACTCTCTCTTTTTTTACAGTGTTCTTTCAGTATTCTTTCAGTGTTCTTTAAGCATTTTTCTACTTTTTTTCCTGTTACATCAGTTTTTTATCTACATATTTTACTGTAACCTTTTTTCCTTGCACCATGACACCATGACTATTTTCTGATATTTGCCACTGAAAAAAGCTTCTGTGAAAAGAAAACCATTTAATGTAAATGTGTCCAGGCAATGTCTTAAAAAATGCCTCATACTTTCCCTTCAAATACCCTGGGGCAGTGTGATATCGAGCAGAACCCCAGAATATATTGCTTGTTCTCAATATACATTTGGCCACGTTCCACAAAGATGTAATTTGTAAGAAACTATGTACTGTCAGCAGAGGGATTTTTTAATCTAGATTTTAAAAAATTCGGCATCAGCAGATCAGATGATTGGTTTCCTGCCATTAGTAAAGGAACAGGCAGCTTTTGCAGTTTCTTATGGAACGTTTTTTAACATTGAGTACAGGAGGCAAGAAAATGTTCGCTGTTTGTCCTCACTGTACGTCTCTCTCTCTCTCTCTCTCTCACTCTCTCTTTCTCATACTGTACCTTAGCACACATGCACTCACTCCTGCACACCCACACAGACATACACACACACAAACATATCCATTCATGCTACACACACATCACAACTGCTGCTACCAGACTCTTATTATACTGCTCAGTTTAAACACTGCCCCCCATCCCCCCTTCCCCAACACACGTGTAAATATTGGACTATACATTGTGCCTCCTGTATTATACTTATGCTAAAATGTTTATTATATTCTACTGCGCCATTTACTTTATGTTCGCATTCTTATCTTTTATTATTTCTCATTGTTGTTGCCTTGTCGAGAACAATTTCGTTAGACGTTGTATTCCATGCGTATTCCGTACATACAACTAATAAAAACTTGAAACTTGTATTACACACACAGTACCATTTTAAATAATAGCCAGTGTAGTGTTCAATGGCTGTTTTATCTTCCATATCTATGTATGTGTTTGTGCACACTTGTCTGCTATATGTCTGTTTTTGAGTGAAAGAACAAAGATAATCCAGCGGGCAAAACTGGTTGAAATGATATCATCATCAGGTCATAATGAGTGACGTTATAATGACATAAATTCAACCAGTTTCACGTTCTTTTTTTATAATATCAATATGACATCAATTCAACACATTTTTTAAACTGGTTGGATTGATGTCATTATAACATCACTCATTATGACCTGATTTTAACCAGTTATGCTTGCTGGGTAAGTGACTGTCTGTGAGTGGCGGACCTGTTTGCCAGTTTGACCCTGTGGTCCCTGTGTCACTTTATAGGAGGGTCCCTATGTCATGTTGAAGAAGAACTGGGAGTTGTATGAGGGCAACGACCAGTATGAAGGCTACTGCGTGGACCTGGCCTCAGAGATAGCCAAACACATCGGCATCAAGTATAAGATCGCTATCGTGCCCGATGGAAAGTACGGCGCCCGGGACCCGGAGACCAAGATTTGGAATGGCATGGTTGGGGAGCTGGTGTACGGGGTAAGAGGGACAGGGGACTGGGGGGTGTGTGTGTGTGTATGTGTGTGTGTGTGTGTGTGTGTGTGTGTGTGTGTGTGTGTGTGTGTGTGTGTGTGTGTGTGTGTGTGTGTGTGTGTGTGTACATGCGCACCTTGATTTTGTTGAGCCACTTTTTTTATTTTATGTTGGGTTTCACTCACACTTGACATCCATTTGTACATCTGTTTAGTTATCTGAAAGACACAGAATCAGTTGCCTTAAACATACAGTAATTGTCAGAAAACAAAGACGGCTTGAAAACTGTTTAAGTTACCCGGAATACTACTACAAATAGCTAGATCTTGACCAAACTAAACCATGGCATCTGGTAACTTTTCCAAATATCACAAAATCCTGGTTCAATTCCCTCTTGATTCCTGGAATCTTGCAACCGGCATTTCTGAAAAACCAGGGAATTTTGGGAAAGTTACCGGAATTGTACAACCCTAGTGCTTATATACAGTAGCTAAGAGATAAAGGCTGTTACAAGGTGCTGGTCCTAGGGGCTAGAGCTGGGACCAGTGTAGCGTGTCAAGTGTGATAGAAGTGTAGGGGTTAAAGAGTGTTTTGTGTGTGATGTGTTAATTGTAAGAGGTGAGAGGGTTAAATGATGTCTGCTAAAGGAGTTAATGGGGTCTTACTGGTGTTTACCTACAGTGGGGAAAAAAAGTATTTAGTCAGCCACCAATTGTGCAAGTTCTCCCACTTAAAAAGATGAGAGAGGCCTGTAATTTTCATCATAGGTACACGTCAACTATGACAGACAAAATGAGAAAAAAAAAATCCAGAAAATCACATTGTAGGATTTTTTATGAATTTATATGCAAATTATGGTGGAAAATAAGTATTTGGTCAATAACAAAAGTTTTTCCATACTTTGTTATATACCCTTTGTTGGCAATGACACAGGTCAAACGTTTTCTGTAAGTCTTCACAAGGTTTTCACACACTGTTGCTGGTATTTTGGCCCATTCCTCCATGCAGATCTCCTCTAGAGCAGTGATGTTTTGGGGCTGTCGCTGGGCAACACAGACTTTCAACTCCCTCCAAAGATTTTCTATGGGGTTGAGATCTGGAGACTGGCTAGGCCACTCCAGGACCTTGAAATGCTTCTTACGAAGCCACTCCTTCGTTGCCCGGGCGGTGTGTTTGGGATCATTGTCATGCTGAAAGACCCAGCCACGTTTCATCTTCAATGCCCTTGCTGATGGAAGGAGGTTTTCACTCAAAATCTCACGATACATGGCCCCATTCATTCTTTCCTTTACACGGATCAGTCGTCCTGGTCCCTTTGCAGAAAAACAGCCCCAAAGCATGATGTTTCCACCCCCATGCTTCACAGTAGGTATGGTGTTCTTTGGATGCAACTCAGCATTCTTTGTCCTCCAAACAAGACATGTTGAGTTTTTACCAAAAAGTTCTATTTTGGTTTCATCTGACCATATGACATTCTCCCAATCCTCTTCTGGATCATCCAAATGCACTCTAGCAAACTTCAGACGGGCCTGGACATGTACTGGCTTAAGCAGGGGGACACGTCTTCCACTGCAGGATTTGAGTCCCTGGCGGCGTAGTGTGTTACTGATGGTAGGCTTTGTTACTTTGGTCCCAGCTCTCTACAGGTCATTCACTAGGTCCCCCCGTGTGGTTCTGGGATTTTTGCTCACCGTTCTTGTGATCATTTTGACCCCACGGGGTGAGATCTTGCGTGGAGCCCCAGATTGAGGGAGATTATCAGTGGTCTTGTATGTCTTCCATTTCCTAATAATTGCTCCCACAGTTGATTTCTTCAAACCAAGCTGCTTACCTATTGCAGATTCAGTCTTCCCAGCCTGGTGCAGGTCTACAATTTTGTTTCTGGTGTCCTTTGACAGCTCTTTGGTCTTGGCCATAGTGGAGTTTGGAGTGTGACTGTTTGAGGTTGTGGACAGGTGTCTTTTATACTGATAACAAGTTCAAACAGGTGCCATTAATACAGGTAACGAGTGGAGGACAGAGGAGCCTCTTAAAGAAGAAGTTACAGGTCTGTGAGAGCCAGAAATCTTGCTTGTTTGTAGGTGACCAAATACTTATTTTCCACCATAATTTGCAAATAAATTCATAAAAAATCCTACAATGTGATTTTCTGGAATTTTTTTTCTCAATTTGTCTGTCATAGTTGACGTGTACCTATGATGAAAATTACAGGCCTCTCTCATCTTTTTAAGTGGGAGAACTTGCACAATTGGTGGCTGACTAAATACTTTTTTCCCCCACTGTACCTCCTGTGTGTTTCTGAGAGATAACAGGGTTAATGTACAGGTGTAGGGTGTGTGTGTCAAAATCTAAAGTTTATTGGTCGTGTACACAGTTTAGCAGATGTTATAGCAGGTGCAGCGAAATGCTTGTGCAAAAATGTCAAACAAGTACACAAATAATAATAAAAGACTAGAACCAAGAAATCACGAATGTCAGAACGAATCCAGTTAACAACCCAAATAACATTGTATCAGTAACCCAAACGCAATCTGTGTACTTACACCAAAAATATATACTAAAAATGATATGTACAGCAGTAGATATATTAGAATGAGCTATGTGAAGAATACAGTATATGAATACACAGTGTGAAAAACAGTATAAAAGAAACTGTCCAGTGTTTAATGTCTACAAAACGTTAGGAACACCTGCTCTTTCCATGACATAGACTGACCAGGTGAATCCAGGTGAAAGCTATGATCCATTATTGATGTCACCTGTTAAATTCACTTCAATCAGTGTAGATGAAGGGGAGGAGACAGGTTAAAGAAGGATTTTTAAACCTTGAGGCAATTGAGACAGGGATTGTGTATGTGTGCCATTCAGACGGTAAATGGGCAAGACAAAAGATTTAAGTGCCTTTGAACGGGGTATGGTAGTAGGTGCCAGGCACACCGGTTTGAGTGTGTCAAGAACTGCAACGATGCAACGCTCAACAATTTCCTGTGTGTATTAAGAATGGTCCACCACCCAAAGGACATCCAGCCGACTTGACACAACTGTGGGAAGCATTGAAGTCAACATGGGCCATCATCATGTTTGCAAGTTTGTATATATGTGAGTGTGTTGCAAATGTGCTGTAAATGTCCTGGATGGCAGGCAGCGTACCGCCGGTAATGCGTTGGGCTGACCGTGAGAGCCATTCATTTGAGGGTGGTTCAGTTGCTGTACCAGGCGGTGATGCAGCCCGAGAGAATGCTCTCAATGGTGCATCTGTAGAATTTCGCGAGGGTCTTAGGGGCCATGCCAAATTTATTCAGCCGCCTGAGGTTGTAGAGGCGCTGTTGCGCCTTCTTCACAACGGTGTCGGTGTGGTGGGACCATTTCAGGTACTCAGTGACGTGCACGCCAAGGAACTTGAAGCTTTTGACCCTCTCCACTCCGGCCCTGTCGATGTAGATTTGGGCGTGCTCCCGCCTCTTTTTTTACGTTGAGGGAGAGGTTATTTACCTGATACTACTCTGCCAGGGCTCTAACCTCCTCCCTGTAGGCTGTCTCGTCATTGTTGGTAATCAGACCTAGCACTGTCAGTAAACTTGATGATTGAGTTGGAGTTATGAGTAGCCACGCAGTCATGGGTAAACAGGGAGTACTGGAGGGGGCTGAGCACACACCCCTGGGGAGCCCCCGTGTTGAGGATCAGTGTGGCGGAGGTGTTTTTGTCTACCCTCACCACCTGGGGTCAGCCCATCAGGAAGTCTAGGACGCAATTGCACAGGGAGGGGTTCAGATCCAGGTCCCTGAGCTTAGTGACATACTTGGAGGGTACTATGGTGTTTGGAAGCAGAGCTGTAGTCGATGAACAGCATTCTCACACACGTATTCCTCTTGTCCAGGTGGTATAGGGCGGTGTGCAGTGCAATGGTATGCAAATTGTAGTGGGTCTAGGTGATATGGTCATTGACTAGCCTTTCAAAGCACTTCATGGTGACAGAGGTGAGTGCTGTGTGTGCGTTTGTGTGTGTGTGTGTGTGTGTGTGTGTGTGTGTGTGTGTGTGTGTGTGCGCACGCATGTAAAGGCTTAAGGAGCTTGCAGTGCTCTTACGGTGCAGAGGGAAGCTGTGAGCCCAGAGCTTAGCCCGTCAGCACTTTACTGTCTCTAAGACCTTGCCTGGTGACCATTCACCTTCTGACAGTCCCTTTCAAAGCCTGTGTCACCGCAAAAGGTCTCCCCCTATTTCAGCCCTGTCATGTATTTGAATGCATCCTCAATGCAAGCCGACCTGTCATTTTAGTACATTTATGCTGAAGACGAAGGAAATTGTATCTCTGTTTTTTCTCCCACTCTCTTTCCCTCCATGCAATGTGTCGGCTTGTTGTAATATATCAAACGTTAATTAATTTTTTGTGGATTGATCCCGAATTCCCCACAGCCGACGCCCAGGCAGGCAAGGTCAGAAGTGTCACTAAATCACTAACAATAATCTGGTTTGTGGATTTCCCACAAATAAGCAATATTCGCTCTCACAGAATCTTCCATTTCTTTTGTTGTTAACATATTTCTCCAACGATGATATTTCATCCCCTTCTCCTTCCAGCCTTTTGAATTAAGCCACTGGGATTAGAGCGACTCCCTGTCTTTTTCTATTTCAAACTTGATCATTGTCTTCAATCAGAAAAAGTGGCGAAATGAAATGAAAAAAAAGCAGGATGGGGAGAAAAGACAGGTGATTGTTGTTGTTGTTGTTGTTCGTTGTTGTTTGGTTTGTGATTGGCATGCTTAGTGATTGTGTCAGATAGAAGGATAGATAAATGTGTTAATGATAGACGGGGTCGATTGGAAGACAGAGTTCTCGGGCCGCATCCACCAAGCGTCTCAATATAGGAGTGCTGATTTAGGGTACGTTTTGCCTTTTAGATCACAATGAATAAGATTACACTCCAGCTCTGAGACGTTTGACACATAAGCCGCTGGCTTCATTGGCTTTGACGTCCTGTAGCTGATCATCTCTCTTGTTATCTCTCTCAGAACGATCTTCTTGACCCTAACCAGTCAGGCTTCAAGACAGGTCACTCAACTGAGACTGCTCTCCTCTGTATGACAGAGGCTCTCCGCTCTGCCAAAGCTGACTCCTCTGTTCTCATCCTCCTAGATCTATCCGCTGCCTTCGACACCGTGAATCATCAGATCCTCCTGTCCACCCTCTCAGGACTGGGCATCTCAGGCTCTGCACACTCCTGGATTGCATCCTACCTGGCAGGTCGCTCCTACCAGGTGGCGTGGAGAGGATCTGTGTCTGCACCACATGCTCTGGTGTCATCCAGGGGTCGGTTCTAGGCCCTCTCCTCTTTTCTCTATGCACCAAGTCACTGGGCTCCATCATATCCTCTCATGATCTCTTCTATCACTGCTATGCGAATGCATGCCTGGCAGATATATTTCAGCTTGGATGTCGGCCCACCTTCTCAAGCTCAAACTCGACAAGGCAGAGCTGCTCTTTCTCCCAGGGAAGGGTTGCCTGTTCCAAGACCTCTCCATCATGGTCGACAACTCCACGGTTTCCCCCTCCCAGAGTGCAAAAAACCTTGGCGTGACCCTGGACAACACCCTGTTGTTCTCTACAAACATCAAAGCAGTGACTCACTCCTGCAGGTTCATGCTCTACAACATCTGTAGCGTATGACCTTTCCTCACACAGGAAGCGGCGCAGGTCCTACTCGTCAAATTCCGTCTGAACTACTGCAACTCTCTGTTGGCTCCCCACTTGTGCCATCAAATCCCTGCAACTTATCCAGAACGCTGGAGTTCAACCTTCCCAAGTTCTCTCATGTCACCCCAGTCTTCTGTACACTCCACTGGCTTTCAGTCGAAGCTCGCATCCACTTCAAGACCACGGGAAGCTCGCATCCACTTCAAGACCACGGTGCTTACATACGGAGCTGCAAGGGGAACTACCCCTCCCTACCTTCAGGGTATGCTCAAACCCTACATCCCAACTCGAGCACTCCGTTCTGCCACCTCTGGTCTCTTGGCTGTCCCACCACTACAGGAGGTCAGCTCCCACTCAGCCCAGTCAAAGCTCTTCTCTGTCCTGGCACTGTCACGCCCTGGCTCTGGGGACTCTAATATGTTGAGCCAGGGTGTGTAAAGTATATGTGTTTTGTTCTAGGTTTCACATTCTAGTATTGTTTGTCTATGTTGGCCAGTGTGGTTCTCAATCAGAGGCAACGTGATTCAGCTGTTGCTTGTTGTCTCTGATTGAGAACCATACTTTAGCAGCCTGTTTCCCCACAGAGTTTGTGGGATCTTGTTTCTAGTCGGTTGTGTTAGACCGTGAACTGTCACGTTTTCGTTTTGTTGTTTTGATCGTGTCTCTAATAAAGAGTATGTTTGCCTACAACGCTGCGCCTTGGTCCTCATCTCTGTTCGACGATCGTGACAGAAGATCCCACCAAGACTGGACCAAGCAGCAAGTCCAGGAGCCATCGCCTGAGAGATCTCTAGCGGATCTCCTTCGCCTCCTCGACTGGGTCAAGCCATGTGAGGAAGAGAGGGGCTTGACGTGGAGGCAGGAGGGCGAAAGGCTGGCGAGAAGCATGGAGACCTGGTCCACGGGTAGGAGTGAAGCCCATAAAATGTTTAGGGGGGGGCTAACGCCGTGGACGACGGGGCAGCAGGAGGCCGCCAGGTTACGGGAGTCACTGGTCACCAGGGGGAAGGAGGATGTAGAGGCATGGCGAGAGGTACTGGCGTGTGTTGCCAGTCCGGTCCGGCCTGTTCCTGATCCCCACGTAGGGCCAGTGGTGTGTGTTCCCAGTACGGTCCGGCCTGTTCCTGCCACTCGCACCAAGTCTACGGTGCGCGTCGCCAGCTCGGCCCGGCCTGTTCCTGCTCCCCGCATCAAGTCTGTGGTGCGCGTCGCCAGCCCAGTCCGGCCCATTCCTGCTCCCCGCACCAAGTCAGTGGTGCGCTTCGTCAGCCCGGTCCGGCCCGCTTCTGCTCCCCGCACCAAGTCAGTGGTGCGCGTCGTCAGCCCGGTCCGGCCCATTCCTGCTCCCCGCACCAAGTCAGTGGTGCGCTTCGTCAGCCCGGTCCGGCCCGCTCCTGCTCCCCGCACCAAGTCAGTGGTGCGTTTCGTCAGCCCGGTTCGGCCCGTTCCTGCTCCCTGCACCAAGTCAGTGGTGCGCTTCGTCAGCCCGGTCCGGCCCGCTCCTGCTCCCCGCACCAAGTCAGTGGTACGTTTTGTCATGCCGTCTCGGCCCGCTCCTGCTCCCCACACCAAGCCAGTGGTGTGCGTCGTCAGTCCGGCACGTCCCGTGCCTGTTCCACTGGTGGCTGGTCCGGCACCGGTCAGATGCTTCACGCCGGAGCTAGAGCAATCCGCTCCACCAGGGTGCAGTCCAGCTCCGGCCAGCGGGGCCAGACCGGACCAGGGGTACTTTGGGGGGTTGGAGAGGGAGCGGGGATCAGGCCCGGAGCCGGATCCGCCGCCTAAGCGGAGTGCCCACCCGGTCCCTCCCCTGTGGTATTTGGTGGGCGCGGTCGGAGTCCGCGCCTTTAGGGGGGGGTACTGTCACGCCCTGGCTCTGGGGACTCTAATATGTTGAGCCAGGGTGTGTAAAGTATATGTGTTTTGTTCTAGGTTTCACATTCTAGTATTGTTTGTCTATGTTGGCCAGTGTGGTTCTCAATCAGAGGCAACGTGATTCAGCTGTTGCTTGTTGTCTCTGATTGAGAACCATACTTTAGCAGCCTGTTTCCCCACAGAGTTTGTGGGATCTTGTTTCTAGTCGGTTGTGTTAGACCGTGAACTGTCACGTTTTCGTTTTGTTGTTTTGATCGTGTCTCTAATAAAGAGTATGTTTGCCTACAACGCTGCGCCTTGGTCCTCATCTCTGTTCGACGATCGTGACAGAAGATCCCACCAAGACTGGACCAAGCAGCAAGTCCAGGAGCCATCGCCTGAGAGATCTCTAGCGGATCTCCTTCGCCTCCTCGACTGGGTCAAGCCATGTGAGGAAGAGAGGGGCTTGACGTGGAGGCAGGAGGGCGAAAGGCTGGCGAGAAGCATGGAGACCTGGTCCACGGGTAGGAGTGAAGCCCATAAAATTTTTAGGGGGGGGCTAACGCCGTGGACGACGGGGCAGCAGGAGGCCGCCAGGTTACGGGAGTCACTGGTCACCAGGGGGAAGGAGGATGTAGAGGCATGGCGAGAGGTACTGGCGTGTGTTGCCAGTCCGGTCCGGCCTGTTCCTGATCCCCACGTAGGGCCAGTGGTGTGTGTTCCCAGTACGGTCCGGCCTGTTCCTGCCACTCGCACCAAGTCTACGGTGCGCGTCGCCAGCTCGGCCCGGACTGTTCCTGCTCCCCGCATCAAGTCTGTGGTGCGCGTCGCCAGCCCAGTCCGGCCCATTCCTGCTCCCCGCACCAAGTCAGTGGTGCGCTTCGTCAGCCCGGTCCGGCCCGCTTCTGCTCCCCGCACCAAGTCAGTGGTGCGCGTCGTCAGCCCGGTCCGGCCCATTCCTGCTCCCCGCACCAAGTCAGTGGTGCGCTTCGTCAGCCCGGTCCGGCCCGCTCCTGCTCCCCGCACCAAGTCAGTGGTGCGTTTCGTCAGCCCGGTTCGGCCCGTTCCTGCTCCCTGCACCAAGTCAGTGGTGCGCTTCGTCAGCCCGGTCCGGCCCGCTCCTGCTCCCCGCACCAAGTCAGTGGTACGTTTTGTCATGCCGTCTCGGCCCGCTCCTGCTCCCCACACCAAGCCAGTGGTGTGCGTCGTCAGTCCGGCACGTCCCGTGCCTGTTCCACTGGTGGCTGGTCCGGCACCGGTCAGATGCTTCACGCCGGAGCTAGAGCAATCCGCTCCACCAGGGTGCAGTCCAGCTCCGGCCAGCGGGGCCAGACCGGACCAGGGGTACTTTGGGGGGTTGGAGAGGGAGCGGGGATCAGGCCCGGAGCCGGATCCGCCGCCTAAGCGGAGTGCCCACCCGGTCCCTCCCCTGTGGTATTTGGTGGGCGCGGTCGGAGTCCGCGCCTTTAGGGGGGGGTACTGTCACGCCCTGGCTCTGGGGACTCTAATATGTTGAGCCAGGGTGTGTAAAGTATATGTGTTTTGTTCTAGGTTTCACATTCTAGTATTGTTTGTCTATGTTGGCCAGTGTGGTTCTCAATCAGAGGCAACGTGATTCAGCTGTTGCTTGTTGTCTCTGATTGAGAACCATACTTTAGCAGCCTGTTTCCCCACAGAGTTTGTGGGATCTTGTTTCTAGTTGGTTGTGTTAGACCGTGAACTGTCACGTTTTCGTTTTGTTGTTTTGATCGTGTCTCTAATAAAGAGTATGTTTGCCTACAACGCTGCGCCTTGGTCCTCATCTCTGTTCGACGATCGTGACAGGCACCCCAATGGTGGAACCAACTTCACTCTGATGCTAGGACAGCATAACCCTACCTCTTTAAAGAGTATCTTAAATAAGACATCTCAGTCTTATCCCCCCCCCCCCCCCAAAAAAAAAGAAAAACAACAACAACAACCTTGCACTTGTCTTTTCCTACTAGCACTGACTTTGCTGATAACTTAATTATTGAGAAAAATGTACTTACTACGACTGTGATATTTGGTTGTCTCACCTA